AAAAGTTGTCCCCTTTGCTTAAGTAATTAACCACTACACCATGAAGGCATATGGGGGAGTGGAAGTACAGATCCACATTTTCTTGACCTCAGCACTAGCTGGAGGTGAGTGGTCAGCTTCCTGTCCCTGCTGTTTTACCCCCGGGGAAACAGCCTGCAGTACCCATTGAATAGGAGGCTGGGTGGATCCCAGGGCCGGCCCAGACAATGTGAAGAAGAGAAAATTCTTGACCCTACCAGGACTCGAACTCTGACCACTTGGTCATCCAGCCCATAGCCAGTGGCTGTACTGACTGTTCTATCCCAGGGTGAGCAGCATAATGTGTTGAAAATCAATTTATAGTGCATGGGAGTGCCATCCTTTAACATATTGTGGCACATAGGCCTGTTGCCAGGCAATGACCGCAAAACAAATGAGACCACATCTGCTGCTAGGCAGCAGCCTGAGCGCAACGATGGAAGCAGTGCTGGAAGTGATCTTTCCTATATGATACACCCTGAGGCTATATCACAAACCCAACTGAGTTCAGTTCAGTTAGTGCATTGCAGTGCAGTGCAGTGCAGTGGAGTGGAGCAGGCTGGTTGGTTAGTGAGTTAGAGGACTGCTGCTGTTAGAAGCTGGTACTTAAGGCATGGGGATAGTATGGGAACCCAGAGTAAGGAGAATGTCTACTGTTGGAAGCTATTACCAGGCAATGACTGGTGAAGACACAACAGACTGAGAACACTTAATACATGCTATAGTGAACTGCAGTGTGTGTGAATTAGCGATAGCGCTATAGCTACTTGTAAGTGGTCTATAACTCCAATTACCAAACAAAACCCCATATAGTCACTCACACACATAACAATATACATAAATTCCATGCAACAGAAAACAAAACCAGAACATGGCAGGCCAGGGCTGAATCTGTTTCCTTTCCTTTCCTGGTCCACTGGCAAGGAAGGGGACAGGCAGGAAGAGCTTGAGGTTCACTGGAAGCGTGGGGATGCAGTATCACTTTGCATTGATGTTTGAAACATATTGTTAAATGTTTAAAGTGTAAATAGTAACAAATGAATAGACTTCCAGATGAATTTTCAGTGTGCATTATACTAGTTTAGTTTTGGTTATGAATTGAAGGTTTGCAGAAGGAGGCTAGAAGTTGTTTCCATGCCAAGCAACTGTTGTTGATGAAGAGATTAGGACCAAAATATCTGACTGTTTTGTGGGTAGCCATGTAGCTCTCAGGGTTGTGTGTTGTGTGTTGCAGCGCAGCGCTGTCCATCAGTAGTGGATGATCAGTTCTTCAAGTTGAGCGAGTTGGAGCGTTCCCTGGAGCATGAGGACCAGCGTGAGGCAGGCCAACACAGCGGCAGCAGCGATGAATCTGTTGACTTTGTAACCGTTCATTTGATTGGAGAACTGTTGTGCATAAATTAAACATGTATTAGATTAAGATTACTAAATTACAAACAAAGAGATCCGGCAGATAGCCAGCTCTTACACGTGGAAGGGACATATTTCAAGTTTTGCTATGTGAACAGGAAGTAACATCTGGTACTTTCCTGGAATTCTGGCAGTTTCAGCAACGTCGGAAAGGCTTTGAGAAAATGAGAGCTGACAGCTTGGGACAGCGATAACTTAGAAGTGGGACGGCCGGAGCCTCACACCCTGACTGTAATGCATCAAGGGGCTGTCATCCTTAGCGTCAGGTCAGCATCTGCCAGAATCACATAGCAGAGCAACATGATTGGGAATTCAAAATTTAGGGAACCTCCTAGTTTGGAAAATTAACCAATGGCAGAAGTGGAGGAGTGGATTTCTCTTGGAGTCTGGGGTTCGTGGACCTCAGAATTCAGAGAGAGGGCATTCCACCTCGGAGAGTCTTGACACTACTTTCGGCAAAGTCGGACACTAAATTTACCACTACGGCCCTTCCGTAAAATAGTATAAGTACAGTTCAATTCAATAGTATTAAGAAATTCAGTTGCATTCAGAAAGCTGGAAGGGATTAATGGACCATTAAGTGCAACGGTTGTAGAGTGTGTGTGTGTGAAATTGTAGTGAAGGGTTCCTCCTGCCCTGTCCGAGCCAGACCCTTATAAGACCCTGGGATAGGAACCCAGCTCTACTGATTAAAGTAAAGAACCCAAAGAAGTGAGCGGTGGTGGAGTGGCGCACAACGAAAAGGGCACAAAGGAAGTGAGCGGTTACAACTTATTTCAGCCATTGGATGATGATACTGATGAAGTAGGAGTCTGTTCCCTTTGATCTGTCACATGTAGGCCTATTGCCGTGTTTGTTTTATGTCTGATAGATTTGAATGAAGACATGTAAAATTGAAGAAATTTTAAAGTGGTTTCTCAGTCCATTTATTTATTGTTTATGTAATGATACTGGTAGTACATAATATTGTGGTCTTCTTGGGATGTGACACCATTTAGTCTGCTAGGTTGGTACCGACATTGTAGAGGAAGCTGTCACACTGTACCCTGGAAATGAAAGCAACATGGTTGTGAATAATAAATTGAAGAAGGCATGGACAGACGCAGTTATGGCCTGATTTGGGATACTGCCCCTGTAGTATCTGTTGCGGGCCAGTAGGAGCTCGCTGATGTTTCACAGGAACATTCTGCCCCCAGCCTGACCAGAAACCAACAGAGTGGCTGAGGGTGGAGACATTATATTCCTGCAAAATGTCACTGGACTTCTACTGGACTCCATGGCAATGCATCTCAGAAGACTGTACTCCTTATAGTCATCACTGTGGGAATCTCAGATCCAACATAGATACAACTATTTTATATATTTGTCGTTTATGTAAAAACATCAGTATCCTGTGCTGTACTTTGGTTTGCTGAAATCTGAGTTTCTGCACCATGTTTGCAGGAGGCTGAGGGACCACACTATGGAGAGTTCTTTGATTGCCTCGTGAAGGTGGAGAGGTCCAGAACCTGCGGGATGAGAGTGACTCAGACTGGATGGAAGTGGGAGAGAACGATGAAGATGCAGCAGATGGAAAGTTTGATGCACAGGAGGAGATCTATACCAAGAAATTTCTGTGAGAAAGTTGACTGACATTCATAAACTCAGTCTGGAGTGCTGACAATGTTCTCTAACATCCCCCCCCCATATCTGTGCATGCTGGCTCGTGCCATTGTCTTCTGCTGGTCCTCATATTCCTGCACTTGCCATCATTTCCATTTTATGCTAGTCAGTGAATGAAAAGTATCCAGCATCCCTTATCTTCTGACGTTCTTCTGTTTTTGATTGTTTGTCATCTGTTTCCTCCCTCACTGTGTTCCAGCATGTGGCTGAACCTTTCTGTACAGTTTAAGTATCTTTAGGATATAATGCTGGTCCAATGTGTCGTGCTTACACGCTCATCAGTCATGAGACTAACTGTTCAGTTGGTTCGAGGCTAGTTGGACTGTGTGTCATTTAATGGTACTACACTAAATGTGAGCTTAAGTATATTGTCCAACGGAAGGGACTTGGGAACAAGCGTGCCAGTGTATACACGTATTTCTGAATACTCTGTCCACGCTTTCCCATAATCAGTGCAACCAACAACTGTGGAACAGGCTTATTCATGACAAGATTGGCAGCAAATTTCCTGCACAGTGTTCCAGTGAATGCTAGTCTGTGAGAGTCTGTGCATGTGTACAAGACCTCATGATTAGTATTATATTTCAGCATCCTGTTACACTCACACAATATATATGGATAAATACCGTCTTAAGTGCAACAAATTTTATTGTAGTTTTTACTTCTTTTCCTCCTCCACACTACATGTTTCGGCCCTAAATGGCCATCATCAGGTGTGTATCACTCACGTAGCTGTTACACTGCTTTTTAAAATTTAAAATTACCAGTCTTTCTAATTGTATAAAATCTTTGTTAATCTACACGCGTCGATTTGATTTTTAAATTAGCACTTTTTAAAACTTAATTCAAGTTAAAATGTCTATAAGATCTCTGTTCTTTCGAAAAAGAAAGAACAGAGATCTTATAGACATTTTAACTTGAATTAAGTTTTAAAAAGTGCTAATTTAAAAATCAAATCGACGCGTGTAGATTAACAAAGATTTTATACAATTAGAAAGACTGGTAATTTTAAATTTTAAAAAGCAGTGTAACAGCTACGTGAGTGATACACACCTGATGATGGCCATTTAGGGCCGAAACATGTAGTGTGGAGGAGGAAAAGAAGTAAAAACTACAATAAAATTTGTTGCACTTAAGACGGTATTTATCCATATATACTCATGATTAGTAATAAACTGAAAGAATTTCAGGAGAAGGAATTGTACAGCAGTTAGGAAAGGTGGCATTAGTGAACGTTGTATAAGAGACTGGAGGAAGCTGTAGAAAGCACTAGCAGCCGGAGGGCTTTATCTGTAAATATATTTTTATTTTAATATCACATAGCTTTATGTTTCATTTGAGGAAGTAGTATTGAATAGTGTGGCACTGTAACATAGTTGAAACATTAATTTGCTTCATGTTCATGTTTCAAGATGTCACATCCTGTAAAGTACATGGCAGTAGTGGAAATAAATGAAGGGTACCGGTTCCATTGCGCCATGTGTTGTGTGCAATTTTCAGAACATATATAGTGTATGCTTCATAAATACACATTCACTTTTCTGGTTATTTCTTGAAATATGACATGTGCTGCTTGTTTAAGGGTGCTGGATACTTGAGAAAATACTGTGTTACCCCAGAATCCACACAAAGTGTCTGTATAATATCAGTCAAGTCTGCTGTACTGGTTGAGAATCTCGTAAGATAATATGAGATTTGAGGTTCTCATGGTGGTAGGTATTAGTATATGGTCTCGTGCTGTGTGCATCTGGTAGAGCCTACTGCAGCCATCTTCAGAGCAGACTATGAGTATGAAGGGAATCCAGTCATATGTTTCAGGTTTGATGAGGCAGGAATGTTTGACGAGGAGAATGAGGCAGTGGAAGCCAAGTCAAGTATGGAGATGAGGCAGGAGCGTTTGTGGGCAAGGCTGGACGATCTAGAGGAACAGGCATTGGCAGGGAAACCTTGGCAACTGAAAGGCAAGGTCTCTGCTTCTGCTCGGCCGCAGAACTCGCTGCTAGAAGAAGTGGTGGAGTTTGACCTGACCACTAGACCAGGCAAGAATGTGGTGGAGGTTGACCTGACCACGAGACCAGGCGAGAATGTGGTGGGGTTTGACCAGACCATGAGGCCAGGGGAGAGTGTGGTGGAGTTTGACCTAACCACAGGACCAGGGGGAATGTGGTGGGGTTTGACCTGACCACAAGACCAGGCAAGAATGTGGTGGGGTTTGACTTGACGAGACCAGGGATGATTGTGGTGGGGTTTGACCTGACAAGACCATGCAAGAATGTGGTGGAGTTTGACCTGACGAGACCAGGTGAGATTGTGGTGGGGTTTGACCTGACCATGAGGCCAGGTGAGAATGTGGTGGGGTTTGACTTGACAATGAGACGAGGTGAGAATTTGGTGGGGTTTTACGTGACCAGAGGAAGAGGCATGAAATGCATTACCATCTGATTAGTTAGTTACATAATGTCACATTCAGAATATTTATTTTATTTGTGTGTTGCGAATTAGAAATGGTTGTAAGCTTTTAATTTGTGTCCATACTTTTAGATAATATAAATTTACGTTAGCACAAGTTATGCATAAACAGAGATCAAGAGGTTGTGTAACTCTGTAATATATGCTCATTTCACACCTGCAGATGGAAGCATTTGAAGGAAGGCAGGATTCTTATGTTTATCTTCTCCTTGTTCATAACAGCAGTATGGTACCCTTTTTGATGTTGAATTCAGTAGGTTCAAGTTAAAGTAAGTTGTGGTCACTGTACATTTTTTCTGCAGCCCCTGTGATCACAGAGCACACCACATTGCAGCTGGAGCACATTATCCAACAGCGAATGAAAGATCGTGCATGGGATGATGTTGAAAAGAAAGTGAAACCTGTGGAAACCCCTAACGAGTACAAGAAGAAGCTTGTTCTGGATCATGAAAACAGCAAACTCAGTCCTGCCTGGATTTATGAGCAGGTCACTGTTGCACACTGCACATCAGAGCTAGCAGTCAGCTTCTGGACATGCAGAGGCTGTTGTTCAGCTTTGCTGACATGACAGCCTTTGAAAACAATTCTGAGAGGTTCTGGCATTGGTACATTATACAGTTGCTGAGTCACTAGATATTTCCTCCAGTATGAAACACTGTAAGATTTTTTTTTATTCTGTGTCTTCAATATTTTAGACTTCTGTTGCACAAGTATTCCTTTCATACGCTGCTGAAAATAAACACTTCAAATTTTCTGTGTTTTTGGTTTCTTGTGGCAGTGAATATTATGTTCACAGTCTTCTTGGATTTGATGAAGCCCCCGAAGTCTGATCTTTCAAAGCTCTAAAATTTACCATGTATATGGCTGTTTTGTAATAGTCTGATGCGTTTGTATATGGTATTAACTTGTTGTCACTGGGCATGCTCAGAAGCTCCTGTTCATGATGTTACCAGGACTACATTAAGCAGCATGTGTTCTCAATGCTGGATGCACTATCTAATTTCTATTTCACACCTAAAGCAGTAAGTGCAGTGCCGAGTAAAACTTTATTTTAGCCTTAGCTTAACCTTCCAAGGTCTTCTCCTACCTGTCCAGCCCATAGCCTGAGTGAAAGTAGTATTAATTTCTGTGTACAGTACAAAGTTCTCTAAGTAATGATGAGAGGTTATACTTAGTTTTTGTGTTGCAGCCGGCCCCAGAAGTGAAGATTGTCAGCAACATACCAGCCATTAGCCTGGAAGAGGTTGCACCTGTGGCAACCAGTGATGCAGCCCTCCTAGTACCAGAAGAGATGCAAGGTAACCATGCAGTCATTGTCATTTTCTCTTAATGTTTCAGTTTTTGTGTAGGTTGTCTAAGACAAGTGTTGCTCAACTCGTGGGACTTTATGCTTGTTGGAGGGACTATGAGGTCTCAGAAATGAGAAATTCAATTGGTGATTAATGTGTGATACTAAAGTCCATGTAAATATAAAAATATACTTCATGGAAAAAGAGACTTTATGAGGATTTGACACTCTCATGGTGACTAAACATAGCTCAGATCTTTCCACACAATCGGCCATGTCAGCGTTTGGTTAAAATCAAGGTTTCAGAGTTATCCTCCACCTCTATCATCAGGGCTGATATGAATGACCAAGTGTTACTGATGTACTGATGTGCATATGTGCATGCACATGCACACTGTGACAGGACTTCTACCCTCATGCCCCACAATATGCCAGCAGGATGAGGCATGGATTTGACAGGCTTTTTATATGTATCAGTGACCACATTGACTCAGATGTTGGAGATGCATGAGATCTCTGAAATGTTGGTTTGTCACTCTTGAGCGCCTGAGAATATATTAGTATGAGAAAAGCTGTGTTTCTGCTACGTACAGTGGGGTTGTAGGATTTAGGGTGCAGAAGTGTGAAGGTCACTAGTCTAATATTTTCCAGAGTATGCATCTTCTGTCCTGAAGATTGAGGCAGCAGGTGCCCATCTACCAAACTGCATGGTATCACATGCAGAAGATACGATCAGTGGCTTGCAAACCTCAAATCTTACAAATGAACAAACAAAGAAGTAATCTTTTATAGTTGTTACATTGTTATTAAAAAGCCTGTGACATCTGCAGGAGCACCATATTTATTTGATGTTCTCTTATGACAGGTCGCCTGAAAGGTGATTTGATTGGCAAGGCTGAGCGTACGTCTTCTGATAAGAAGAGAGAACGTCAACACAAGGTCAGACAGAGGGCACGAGCAGTTGAGCAGTTGCGGCCAGGCCTGGGGAACAAGTACAGTAAGGCTCGTGCATTGCGAGACCTGGAGAAGGTCACAGAGAACAGCAACATCACACAGGTACAGTTGTCTGACATGACTGTTCCAATTCCTTGTAGAGTTTAGGAATTGTATTTATCACTGCTGATGACTAAGCCATTTGTTGGGCTGCACCGTAGCTCATGCAGGCTCAGGGTCTGGTCAGTTTGTGTGGATTTCTTACTAGACAAAGTTACACAGAGGCAGGGTTTCCTGTGCCAGTTTTTATTCCACCAGATGCTCCATTTTCTCATCTACCATCTTGGTTTGGCACAGCAGGAAGTTTAATACTTGAGTACCAGAAGACTTCATCTCACCCCACCCTAAGTAAGGGAATAAGAAGTGTTTCATTCCCTACTGCCAGCATGCAGTAGGCCATCATTATAATAGAGATTCAGAATTGTCATGGGTTTGACCATGTCCTCCTATATGGTTATATATGTTTTATGTTGTGCAGGTTGCTGTGAAATGGTTAGGTTACAATGAAATGCTGCTTCGCAACATCTGCTGTAGTTTGTAGGTACAGAGGGCGAAGTCTCTAGGCCACTATGAGCAGGCTGTATGTTTCTGGTTTCTCTAACCTTGGGAGTGTTTTCTTCAAACAGCAAAGTTTAATAAGCAGAACATTTACCTGCTCGATCTCAATCTGAAATCTGCCTTAGCCACTGCATAAATGCTGTTGTACTCTTCGCCAAGTATAATTAGAATGATTAAGTTGAGGATGAGATGGGCAGGACATGTTACATGAATGGGGAGAAGAGGAATATTGGTGGGAAGGCCAGAAGGAAAGAGACCACTAAGAAGACCAAGTTGTAGGTGGGTGGACAATATTAAAATGGATAACATGGGGTGATATTGACTGGATTGATTTGGCTCAGGATAGGGACCATGGAGGGCTCATGTGAAACTGGTAATGAACTTTCGGGTTCAATAAAATGCTGGGAAATTCTTGAATTGGCTACACAATTGGCAGCTTCTCAAGGAGGACTCAGCTCCATGAATGAGTGAACATAAATGCTGTTTCCATAATAACAGAAATCCCAAAAATAGGTATTGTCAGTTTCACATAAAAGCATGGGTATTGAAGGTTTTCCGCAGCACTGCCTGATAGCGAAATCTAGTGTACTTCCAAGCGCTGTTAATGTCTAGATGAGTTGTGGGACAGTGTAGCACTCGTCAAGGTGTTTTGTGGACAAGTTAGGAAGTGAAGGTGAGTACGAGAAGCTTTCTTGCTTTCTCTCTGAGATCCAGTATTGTGAATTACAGTGCATACACACACAGTTTAGGGCAGGAATTTCGGATGATTACTAAATGTGTAAAGTTCATGTTCTTGTATTGCCATGGTGCAGGTTGCTCAGAAGACTCATGCGAAGGCCATGCGGTCATCATCAGCATTCTTCAGCCGTCTGCAGGATGAAGTGAGGAGCCATATCAAAATGAAGACTGCAGGTAGCAGCCAGAGTCAACAGAAGGATGTTAGGTCTGCCATGAGAACGAAGTTGTGATGTGCATTTGCATCACACTGGCTCCTTTTGTAGCATCTCAGGACATACAGCAGGTCGATCATGCAGGCCGAGTATGTTGTTACTTCTGTATATAAATTAAATTGGTTGAGTGAACCATCTGTGGGCATCTGTCTTTACATCCCCACCCTTCCAGTGAACCTCAAGCTCTTCCTGCCTCTGTCCCCTTCCTTGCCAGTGGACCAGGAAAGGGAAGGAAACAGATTCAGCCCTGGCCTGCAATGTTCTGGTTTTGTTTTCTGTTGCATGGAATTCATGTATATTCTTATATGTATGGGTGACTACATGGGGTTTTGATTGGTAATTGGACTTATTGACCACTTACAATTAGCTATAGTGCTAACATTAATTCACACACTCTGCAGTTCACTATAGCATGTATTATGTGTTCTGTCTGCTGTGTCTTCACCAGTCATTACCTGGTAACAGCTTCCAACAGTGGACATTCCCCTTACTCTGGGTTCCCATACTATCCCCATGCCTTAGGTACCAGCTTCTAACAGCAGCAGTCCCCTAACTCACTAACCAACCAGCCTGCTCCACTCCACTGCACTGCACTGCACTGCACTAACTGAACTGAACTCAGTTGGGTTTGTGATATAGCCTCAGGGTGTATCACATAGGAAATATCACTTCCAGCAGTGCTTCCATTGTTGTGCTCAGGCTGCTGCCTAGCAGCAGCTGTGGTCTCATTTGTTTTGCGGTCATTGCCTAGCAACAGGCCTATGTGCCTTAATGACTGTCACACTATACAAGTTTATGTGGAATACTCAAACTGAAAAGCATTTGGAGGTGGTCGTGGCCTAATATAATGCACTCTCACAGCATTTGTCTTTCTAACGTCAGGCCGGTGAGCAGGTCTCCGCACAGGCATGAAATGAGAGGAGTTTCCAGAAAACTGTATAATGGTCATGTGAAGGACGATGAGGTGGGTAGGACATGTAGCACGAATGGGTGAGACAAGGAATGCGTATAGGATACTGGTGGAAAAGCCAGAAGGAAAGAGACCACTGGGCGTAGGTGGGTGGACAATATTAAAATGGATCTTAGAGAGACAGGGTGGCAAGTTGTGGATTGGATTGATCTGGCTCAGGATAGGGGCAAGTGGACGGCTCTCTTGAACGCGTACTTAACGACTGTCAAACTATGCAGGTTTATGTGGTAAATTCAAACTGAAAAAGCATTTGGAAGTTGTCGTTGCCTAATGCGCTGTCACAGCATTTGCCTTTCTTACCTCAGGCCAGTGAACCGGTCTCCTCACAGGCAGGAAGTAAAATGACATGCAGAAAACTGTATAATGGTCATGTCAAGGACGATGAGGTGGGCTGGGCATGTAGCACGAATGGGGGAGACGACGAATGCGTGTAGGATACTGGTGGAAAAGCCCGAAGGAAAGAGACCACTGGGCGTAGGTGGGTGGACAATATTAAAATGGATCTTAGAGAGATGGGGTGGGATGTTATGGATTGGATTGATCTGGCTCTGGGTAGGGACCAGTGGAGGACTCTACTGAACACGGTACTGAACCTTCGGATTCCATAAAATGATGGGAAATTCTTGAGCAGCTGCAGAATCGGCCGCTCCTCCAGAATTGCTCAGCTCCATGAGTAAGCCAGTAAAAAAGTAGGAGCAAGCCCCCGAAGAAAATCACGTGACTTCCTTACTGTTACTGCCTGGTAACTTTAGCCGTGCGGAAAGGCAAACGCTGTTGTGGGGCACGCGAAGCTATACCCTTGCTGTGGGGCCGTTCAGAGCTACTCCCCGAGCGGAAAACATTGCCTCGGAGACCAGGAGTAGATATCGCGGAATCGATACAGTGCGGCGGAGCGAAAGCACTAGCTTATCGCACTTCCGGCCAGCATCACACCATCACAATTGCAATATGTACAATGCATGACATAATAAGAAACACAGTAACTGTACAGTAGGCACTACAGTGTACACTATTATAAAACAAACACTACAGAACAATACCTTACAGTCCTCGACAATGCACGTCGAATCCACAATGTACTGGCTCGGTGCACTCGGTCTGAATCGACAGACGATGAATCACTACAAGCATTGTCTGTGTCATCCTCACCATCAGTATCACCCTGCAGATTGATGATTTCTTCTTCTATCACATCCGGCACAATGCCATCTTTCTCCCAGTAGTTTTTCTTGCGATTCCACGTGGTGACAGAAACCAGCCCAGTCGTCTGCCGTGACCTCTTCTATGGCTTCATTTGTCACTTCCAGTAATTTTGCAAGTGACAAATCCGCTGTTACGTTATGCTCTCTGACTATCCATTTTATTTTCGCCCATGCGAGCTCGATCGGATTGAGATCACACATATACGGCGGCAAACGGATCACAGAATGCCCATGTCCGGACAGAATGGAATCGATCTTGAACACGTTCTCTTTCGGTTTTAGGGAAAGTATTTGATTGTAGAGGTCATTCTCCCGCATACCCTCATTACAGTCGACAACCTTGTGACGTAGCCACGATATCATATCCTTTAGTGAGTAAGGCGTTGGTGGCTTCTCTATTTGGACAGAGTGGTATGGGGCATTGTCTAGAAAAATGACGGACTGTGGAGGAATATGGGGAACTAATTTTTCCGTCAGCNGTTATGCTCTCTGACTATCCATTTTATTTTCGCCCATGCGAGCTCGATCGGATTGAGATCACACATATACAGCGGCAAACGGATCACAGAATGCCCATGTCCGGACAGAATGGAATCGATCTTGAACACGTTCTCTTTCGGTTTTAGGGAAAGTATTTGATTGTAGAGGTCATTCTCCCGCATACCCTCATTACAGTCGACAACCTTGTGACGTAGCCACGATATCATATCCTTTAGTGAGTAAGGCGTTGGTGGCTTCTCTATTTGGACAGAGTGGTATGGGGCATTGTCTAGAAAAATGACGGACTGTGGAGGAATATGGGGAACTAATTTTTCCGTCAGCCATTTCTGAAAGTTATGACCGTTCATCTGACCGTGGTAACCTGTTGCACCGCCAGCCTTGTAGACAAGTTTGGCCTCTGGAATGAAACCGCTCGAGGTCCCTGCATGTAGTAATATGAGTCTGTTGGCGGAGTTAACATTATCCTGCACTCCCATGACGTCATTACTCTGCCAGCACTTTCGAAACGTCAGGTTTCTGTCTACCCACGTCTCATCGATGTACACGATTGATCGTCCTTCCTCACGATACTGCTTTATTTTAACCAAGTATTTACTTCGCCAATTCACAATGTCCTGTCTTTCAATCAAAATTTTGCGCTTTGACTGACATCGCCGCCATCAAAACCCCATGCTTTTAATAATTCTGCGCAAAGACGTTTCTCCCCAAGGAAAATTTATTTTGCTTGTAATTATTGGCAAAAGCTTGGGGATGTTTTACCACCCTCCTCTTGTCGTCGTCTGCTCCGTGAGACTTCAATCCTCTCGAGTTGGTCGCCACTTATACCTGTCCTCCACGTTCGCCCCTTTGTGGTCTGCACTTTCATCCGCCGCTTCCTGTTGCTGTCTGATTCAGAGTAGGGTGTGGGATTGCTCTGAATTTGAATTTTTTATGGGCGCCAGTGGACTTGGGTGAAATCCACGAATTTGGAACGGGGAAAACAAAGGTGGGGATATGGATTGGGGGGCGTTTGGGGTTCCGACTGCTCAGACGGTAGGACGAGATTCTGTCTCAGGATGACTAATGGGCCTTACTCACACTAGGAGTGAGAAAACACACAAAAGAAACTCGCACTTCACCAACACTATTGCTCTTTATTGTGGATGTTCACTAGAGTTACACACTACGAGGCCGTAGCACTTTGAATTTGTACACCGGACTCGGCCAACACCAATTTAACGTCAGGGAGGTTACTACTGACTCCCGTTATTCCCTTTGGCTACTCACTCCCGTTACTCACTGTTGATGTCTCACCGTTCTTATTCCCTTGTAATGACTTGTAATGACTGCTCTTATTGCCTTGTAATGACTGACTCCCGCTATTTCCTTCTGATGACTGACTGCTCTGGAGAGGCAGAAGTCCCGACGGTTCCGGGAACGCCTGGATTCCTCTCCTCTGAAATTTTGCTGATTGGCTGAACCTAAAATTAGGGTGTTCCTCTCATTTGCATTCAGCCAATCCCTAACCAGATCCATGTTAATTTGGGCCTAAGTACAACACGGTCCCTATGACAGCTCTAAAATAAATGGAGGTACGCTAACGATCGCTCGGTACGCCCCTTCGAAAATTATTGCGACTCGTATCTGTCAAGTCTCAAATTTTCAAAGACTCGAACCGTCGAAGTTAAGCATTGAAATCCCCAGAAAACACAGCGGGATACTTCCTGCTCCGTTCTGGGTTTTCAAGTGACCTGCAGCTTGCTTGTCCCTCAGAAAGACCAGATGTTGTCCTTGGCGTCTGCTGGTGCTGGGGTCAATTCTGTATCATCTATTGTTAACAGTAATACTGTTCGTTTACATGTAGTACATTGTAATTAAAAATGTAAATCAACAACATTGCTGTGGTTCCTGCATGGTGCGGTTACAGATGGTGGGCACTCGTATCTCCTGTATATAGAAATTGTGAATTTCATTTATAATAACGCATATATCGAAGTCGTCTACACACGCAACACTGCAAGAAATGCGTCTTCCCTTCTTCCCTGGTGACTGCAGCCGTCTGTTTGCGTCGTTTTCCTTTCGTTTCTTGTCCTCTCTTCTGATGTTTTTTACTGTGGCGTAAGATACCCCAGCATATAGAGCAGCACGTTCCGTAGCTTTCGGGAGCGGCAATAACAAATGTTTACTCAGCTTTTCCTCGTCGTATATCTGTACAATATTAGCTATTACTTCCCTGGCCTCACTATGAATTGTTCCGTGCCATTGTCGGTGTGCCATGATAGTGACACGAACACCACGTACGTAATACAATCGCTATGACTGGTATCAACTAAAAAGCAACACAATGTACTATACACCTGATCGTGCTCCAAGGCCTCCAAGACGTGTATGACCGCTCTACCGCGGCTAAAGATACGGGGCAGGAACAGTAGACCGATGGGCTTGTCGCTCGACTGCTGAGCAGGGGGTGGCAACTGGAATAGGGGAAAGGGAAACACGGTAACTACTGCCTCTAAGAGCGGCGGACGAAACTCACGCTGGGCTCGACCAATCAGAGAGCCTAAACAAACAAACTTGAATACCCACAGTTACGTGCGGTTATGGTGGTGCGTTATATGCAATTTGGTAAGTATGAATTTTGATTTGATGTGGTTACGAAACGAAAGTAGACATTTGCGAACGAAATTACAGCTCCATGTCAAACATATTGTCGCGTATCGGGCGTATATCGCGACAAATAACTTCACGAGGTATTTGATGTAGCGAATTTTATTTCACACTCGCTCTTACAGTCACCCAAATTGCAGATTTACGCTTACTGCTATCTGCAGTATCACAATTAGTACACTCCAAATGCCAGAATACAACTGACTAGTTGCTGGCTAACTCGGCGGTAGCTCCAGAACTCACTGACTGACTCAGTACAACTGACTTTGAATAGCCTTCGCTGCTCCCTATGTAGCCTCGATCGGACAATACGGCCACGTAATAGGCACCCTTGTTGCTAGCCACGCTGTCCGGAGTTGTTGACGGCTGCCTAGTAACCGCGATATCCCTTGGTGACGTCACCGCGTTGACTTGCGTTGCCTAGCGACCAGGATGCTAGGACTCGGCTAACATCGGCTCGCTTCGGCTTCGCTCGGCGCATCACGGCTGGCGGAGGGT